CATTGTTAACCGTACTTGTTGATGTAACTTGTACAGTGTTAATCGTATTTCCAATCTGATTAAAACACAGATCCTATTTCGTTTCGTTCTGGATGATGTGAGGGATTGGCCAATTAAATTGTCTATTACGGCGAGTTTTTGGCGTGAGGTGCACGGAACTGAGGTAACCCGCTAGAAACATCAACGCTGATTGGTTAATCAAATGTCTGACGTCATAGGACCAAAAGCCGCTCGTGTGACCCCTGACGCGACCTTCCACTACAACTGGTCAGATCTTCATGTAGTAGAGGCCATCGAAAGTAAAAAAAAACCGAAACCAATTGCCTCACGTCATGGGGCTAAAAGCCGCTCGTATGACCCCGACGCGACCTTCCACTACAACTGATCAGATCTTCGTGTAGTAGAGGCCATCGAAAGTACAAAAAAAAAACCGAAACGAATTGTCTCACGTCACAGGGCCAAAAGTCGCTGGTGTGACCCCTGACGCGACCTTCCACTATAACTGGTCAGATCTTCATGTAGTAGAGGCCGTCGAAAGTATAAAAAACGAAACGAAATCAGATTGTATTTATATAAGTTGTTCAGTGTTAACCGTACTTTTAGATGTACAGACACATGTGGTTATGACAGATACCATGAATTCTAAACGTGGATATTCATCCTTCAATAACATAGCTGCGTTTCAAATAATTGACAGGAAGAGAAATACTTTGTACATTATTAACCGTACTTCTAGAACAGAAATACCTGGTTATGGCAGATATCATAAATTTTAATACGAGGACTTTTCCTCCTTAAATACCATGTCGTTCTGGCATTCTCAACATTGGTTTATACGTGTCAATAAAATATTCTACCAGGATCATGTAATTACCAATATGGCTACCAGCAGCAGACACAGATATTAATGTTAATTGGTTATTATTACAACCTAACTTCGGCTACAACTATTTCTTAAGGCTAACTCAATTTTCGTCAAGGTCGCTGAGATGTAATGCAGGTGGTGGAGGTGACGAGTGGTCTTCCTCACCCACCCATCCTCGGCTAAATCTATTTGTTAAGGGTAGCTCAATTTTCGCCAAGGTCGCTGAGATGTAAATAATAGGACCCGTGATGTTGGAGAGATTGTAGGTTATAGGATTAGGGTACGCTTTAGGGTTAGGTCCAGGTTTAAGATTGCGGTTACCCTTTTCCCTATTTACACCTCGTGACCTTTGACCAAACTTGAATTGGCCTTATCAAATAGATCAAACAATCTAACTTCTGATTACAGTATAAAAACTTCACAAAGATTTGCGAGAACAGATGTGCATCAAAATAACTTTGAAATAAAATGAAATAAAATGAAATGGGGCCCAATGTTTACTTTTTGCTTCAACTGCGCTAATAAAGACGGGTATACACCATACAGTATACTATGGGAATTTTGCCCAGACAGCGGCGATGCGGGCTACTCGTATTTCAAATTCCAACTGCCAAGGTTTCGTTTACGTGCAAACAAATATGTATACGAGACCTTGGTTTTGTGTCCCATCCCAACCGCAATACGTTGTCACTTGCCACACCCACGCCCTCACCCTCCAACGCCATACACCACTGAACAGGGGGAAACACACGCCGGAAAACAAAACCGATGGACATTGGGATCGAACACGCCCCCCCCCCCCCCCCCCATATTCAGCAGAAGGCTTGATCTCGCTTTAACTACGTACATCTTATCAAGGCCGTTATGTAATATCAGATTCCTCGGTCGTCGCGAATATCAAGAATCCCGCTTTCCAGCTAAAATGTCTACCTGTGATAATCGAGTTGCAAACTACAAGATTCGATCAATGTCAAGGTTTCCGTGGAGGTTCGCATTGTCACAACCTCTGATTGGACGCTACTGTTCATGTGTCTGTAGATCACGTAGCTATAAGTTCGAAAATTGTAAAGTAATCTAGCAAGGTCCAGACGTTGTAAAGCCCACAGTCGTTGCTTCAGGAACATCGACATCGCGTAAAATGACGCCTTACTTGTAATGAAACAACCCGGTCGCTAAAGATAATTGAGATAAAAAGTTACCAGATTCCGATTGTGACAGGTATATTGATGACCGAACAACTATTCGTCTCATTAGATGATCTTCCCCCAGACCATTTCTCATTTGAATATACCCCAGATTGTTTTTAAACACACTTGATACGACTTGTTATTTGGTGATGACTATTTGGACTTTAATCATTGACTATAATGAAATGAAATGAAATGGGGATTAACGTCCTACTGTTCTGCTCCGACTGGGCTAATGAAGACGGGTATACGCCATACAGTGTGCTATGAGAGAAATATGCCCGTGCAGTGGCATTATGGCCTACTCTTACGTCGAATTCCAACTGCCAAGGGATCTTTTATGTACACGCCAATGTATACACCGGTCCTCGGTTTTTAATCCGATCCGAACGACTAGACAGCTGTCCTTGTCAGGCCCTCCGTCCTGAACCACTGATAAGGGTGAAACCACGTCGGAAAATCCCGACGAACTTTCTCGGCCAATGCAGTGATCGAACACGCAACTTCCAGACTAGCGAGCAAGCGTCTTACCCACTTAGCCACCGTGGCCCCTTCATTGACTATACCAATCATTAGTCAGTTGGACCTGCTATTTTACCCTTAGTTTATTCTTACGACGGTTAAGGGTGGGCGGGGCAAATGGTTAACACGTGCGTGTTATTGAGTCAAGTGGTGTGCTTTCGATTCCCCGCTTGTGCGTGACAAGAAGTAGGCTCGCCTGTCCAACCTCGTGGGTTTTCTCTGGGTCCTCAGATTTTCTCCCACTGCTAAAAATCCCTATGCGCATGCGAATTATTGAAATAAAATTCAACCATATGTTAGTCCTGAAATTACCTAGTATGTGTCGAGTGGGCGTTGATTTGACATTTGTTGTTTATTTCTGTGATGTCCGCAGGTTCATCTTGTTGCTCCTACATAGGCTTCGTTTTAAATCTGACCAATGTTCCGAATTCACATGACTTCTTTTAGTGTCTTTTAATAATAAAACTACGAAAAACGCTACTTCGTGTTTTGCAAGATGATACCGTCATAGTCTGTACATGCTATTCAAACGTTAACCCAAACAATATACTAAAATGGAAACCACGTGTACATTTTTCTAGGATGGATCCAAACGGAGTATTGATGAATTAGTAGAACCAGACATTTTATGTCAGCGACCCAGTAAATTACCACACTGATCAGCAGTGAATTTTCGCTAGGCCGCTACAATCGCTGATACGGATGACATCGATGCGAATTAATGAGCCAGAAATATTAACTTTTTTCCTGCGACAAATTAAATTCTAAAACAATTTTTATATGTATTAGAAAAATAAAAAAAGGCGTTTGACGTATTTGCAGATAAAACTTATTTCCTGTTTAGTGTAAATGGGTATTAAAATGAGTAAAAGTCTTCATTCTGCCCGAACTAGAACGTCTTATGTAAACAATGCACACGCCATTGAGCCAATGATTGACGCCGCGTGATGAGACGTTACGTGTTAAAGGTAGTCATCTTTTGCAGAGATATTAGAAAGACTTACTAATACTCTGTGAAACAGATTGGTAAATTACCAGGACGCCTGATTAACCCACAGTCTTATTTTCAATCCAGATTGATTTCCCACTATCAGGTTATCGAGTCTGAGAATACACTGTTCTGTTTAGTGTATCAGGGTTGAAGTTGGCAACGGCATCTAACAACAAGAAATGAAAAGAAACGTCCTACTTTTCTGCAACGACTGTGATAATGTTGACTAGCATACGCCATACAGTACATGAGGCAACGTTTTCAGGGATATCTGCGCTACGGCCTACTCCCATCCGAACAACTAGACACCCGCAGTCCTTGTTAGAAATGAAATGAAATGGGGTTTAACGTCCTACTGTTCTGCTATAACCTGGGCTAATGAAGACGGACATACGCCACAGTTTGCTATGAGGGACATTTTGCCCGGACAGCGGCACTATGGCCTATTCTTATATCGAATTCCAACTATCAAGGGATCTTTTACGTGCACGCCAATTGTGTACACGGGACCTCGATTTTTCGTCCCATCCGAAGGACTAGACAGCTGTCCTTGTCAAGCCCTCCGTCCTGCATCACTGACAAGGGGACGGTGGGACGGTATGTAATCTATCAGGACTAAATCCCAGCTATTGCTTATTCAACATCTAATTAAAACAATAAAATCAAAATATCAAAGGTATAATATATAAAATCTCCCGATGTATGTAGATTCAGACGGATTAAAATGAAGCCTAACAACTGACTTCAGTGAAAATTATAGGTGGGGCTGGTTGGTTTTCATCATATCATATATCATCTGCAGGGAGGATGCCGACTGTTGAATAACGGACTGTGAGCTCATATCTTTATTGTGGGGGGGGGGGGCGGAGGGACGGCCAAATGGTTAGCACGTGCGCGCTGTATCATAAGATCTGCCATTGAGTCAACTGGCGAGGTTTCGAATCGCCGGTTGTAAGTGACAAGGAGTACGGTCGTGGGTTTTTTCCGGGTCCTCCGGTTTCCTCCCACTGCTAAAGAACCCTACCCGCAAGCGAATTATTGAAATAAAATTGAACCATATGTTAGTCCCGAAATGACCTAGTTTGTGTCAAGTGAACGTTAAACCCCATTTCTCTCCCTCTCTCTTATTATATCTTTATAATTACTGAACGGAAATCAACCATATCAGACGCATATTCCACTCAGGGCTGGTTTTGGGCACATTTGACCAATTTCCCCAAATTGGGCCCTGCACTAGAAAGGGGCCCCGCAGCTCACCGACTTAATTTTTTTTTCAGGCAATCTGGCGGCGGGGCTGCCCGTGTGGCTAATTTCAGATATGAATGGATATAGGCTTAGTTAATATCCTGCAATGTATAGAAGACCTGTAACCTCGAGCCTCCCAAATTGGGCCCCATAGCCCCCTAAATGACTATTACAGAATTCAACTATTCAATTTAATTTAAGAGAATTTTATTCATACAATACCCTGTACAAAGCGCCCAATAACTTTTATAAAATTGTCTATGGTATAAAATAAAGACCATTATTTAGATGCAGTGAACGTATTGACCCAGCTAGTTTTGATAATATATACTGATGTTCAAAAGAAAGTATACACACTAAAAGTATGACTAAGTTTTGTTTAGATTAAAAACATTTGATAAAGCATTACTGAGTTTGTCTCTTGCGTCCAAACTCAACATTTCTAAACGAAATAAAAATGTGAAACAAATTGACATTCTACCCAAATACCGTATACCATGGAAAAACGGTTGATGCAGCACAAAATGCACAGTGTATACTTTCTTTTGGACATTAGTATATGATATTGGCTTTTCAACTATACACTTTGTTCTAAACACGTACAGCACTGTATGGTAATTAAAGATTATCAATGGACAATGTAGATGGGAGCTGTATATAATTATACCTGTCAGCGAAATTAAAAAGAACCTTGTAAACTCCAAATATAGTTATGATAATGTGTGTGTAGGACCAGTTGAAAGGTATACAACCATCAGTTTGCTGACAGAGACACAGACAGAGACGAGGGAAGACGGTGAGGCGTGAGGAAAACAGGAATAGAAACCGGCGAATGGACTCACCCGAGTTCAGCAGCTGCCGTGGCAGAGGAGTGGAATAGTTGTCTTAATGTACCATGTTAATGTTATTGTTTATGTTCCTAATGTAGTTTAGTTCCTGTTTAATTTATGTTCCTGTTGTATTTATGTAGTTGTTTTATGTTTATGTTCCTGATGTAAATAAATCGTATCTCTGTTATTACTATAATAGTGTTACAAAGGTTTTCTTTTAACTTTATTTTATTGTTTTCGACAAACAAATAGATATTGAAAGCTTGCACTTTTACGTGGATAAATTTCTATATTAGTACTCGGTATTCCGGCTTGTTCAATTATGCCTTTCAAATTTTTCAACCCAGACGTACAACCCAGTCCTATTCCATCCCGCTGACACAAACTTTCTGGAACACACACGGTAGTACTGAATATGAAACATTGTATTGCCATGGGATCCTCTTTATTCTCGCGGTGGTTATCTCCCTTGATTACTACTTCAGCAAGCAAAAGGACTCCATCATCTTTCAGAACCTTGACCAACCCCTTTGCACCATTCGATGGACTGCCCATATCTTTGTCTGCAGATAGATTATTATAAGTTGGTGCACTGACTTGCCGACGTTCAACATTTTAAATTTGACAGTCTACTTAAGACTTGTTGAGTTTGCGGCCACCGCAGCTGTACAGGGAGGGCCACTGGGCGTATTTATTTATGCCAAATGAATAACTTAAGAAGACCACACCTAATTTGGCTAAAATTACTCTGAAGATGATTTGGTAGTAAACTTATAAAATAAATCATGAAAACGTGGGAAAAAAATAATAAAATGCCAAAACGTTGCTTTTTCCAGAACAATCTGTTGATTGGAAAATATATGATTCATTCAACAACAAGTATCATATAGCAGCAGATGTAGCATTTTCTTGCGAACATTGTGAACCACATTCCATCCATAGGTCAATCTGTTCGGGAGTTATGAAGGTTTCCATGATGCGCTCAATTTCAATGGAATAATGGCGGCCATTTTTAAAGATGGCCGCCAAAATGGAATTAAGCAAAGTGACCAGGAAGTCGATCAACCAAATTTCAAAACTTCAGCCACCAGGCTAACTGAAAAACATGGTTGAATTTATTTATCCAATTGGTAATAATACCCCAACATTCGAGGTCTGTCACGTGGACTATTTTGAGTTTCAGTGTCCGATAAGCTACGCGTCGTCACATAAGCTCGATCTATTGAGGACCGACTGTATTAACGATTCGACCAGCTGGCAATAGGGCCAGGGAAGGCGTTTTCCTTGTGAAACCTAGCACGTTTTATCGCCTGCTGCGAATGAACGAAACAAAAGATATATATCATGGATGTCCTAAAAATGATCTATATTTGGAGCGAGGGGCGTGGTGACCCATGACTTTCCGTGAGGGCAAGATCCCGCCCGTGTCTCCCCCCCCCCCCCAAAAAAAATAAAACAATATTTATATGTGTGTGCCGGTGAGCGTGGGGGTTCCCTCCCTGTGCCACCGAGTAATAATGGACTGTCGGGCTGTTTGGAACATGTCGATGTGTAGCATATCTGACCCACGGTATGTGTTTGATACTGGTTAAGCATTATGATTATAATGTTGAAAACCGCATTGAAACTGTGATTTTGTGCCATTTGCGAGGGGGCACAACAACTGAAGGGATGCAAAAACTCAAAACCTTGACGCAAAGCTCGTCAGTCATTACGTCCCTCTCATTTAGCACCTGCTCGATGCGTTTGGATTTTAAATTCCATTCCCATAATATACTATACCAAAACCGGTGCATTTACCCTTTGGTCAATCCATTTTCAAACAGGTTTTAACATCTTCTTTACGTTGTATAGCAAAATCCATCAACTCTTGAAACATCATCACGCGGACCAGAGTTGATCTAAGTTCATCTGGTAAAAAATATTTGATCGATGCTTCATCAATTTCTATTATACTCGATGCAACTAGACAACCCAATAACTCTTTTATATACCTGGTAATATACAATATAATACTCGATGTTACTAGGCAACCCAATAACTTTTTTATATATTTGGTTGTAAACAAAATAAATACAGGTTTGTATACGACAAGGTGTGTGTTCATCTGCCTAACATCGTCAAGTTTATCCAGGATCTCCGGTTGGTTTCCCTCATCTGCTTTATAACAATTTTATGGTACTGATAAACCTACCGTTGATTAAGATTAGTATAAACGCTATATGTAACAAAGGTATGATAAACCTATCGTTCGTTATGTAACAAAGGTATGATAAACCTACCGTTCATTAAGATTAGTTTTAAAAGCTACCTGTGTCATAGTATGATGGACCTACACCTTATAAACTATCTGTGATACAGTATGATAAACCTACCGTTCTTTAAGATTAGTTTTAGAAACTATCTGTGATACAGTATGATAAACCAACAGTTCTTTAAGGTTAGTTGTAGAAGCTATCTGTGATACTGTACGATACACCTACCCATCTTTAAGATTAGTTTTAGAAACTACCTGTGACATAGTATGAAGAACCTACCGTTCTTTAAGGATAGATTTAGAAGCTATCTGTAATACAGTATAATAGACCTACCGTTCTTTAAGATTAGTTTTAGAAGCTATCTGTGGAATTATCATAGGTTGATGTGGCTCCATAAACACTTTTAATAATCCAGATTCTCGGGCTATAGATAAAGCTAAACATGTTGCAGCACCGTTTAAACAACCTGACAGACGAGCTTCATATTCACTGGCTGCCATTTTCTATAAAATAAAACCGTAGGTTTCATTCTAACTTATATTATATCACAAGGGCAGGACAATTTACCCAATACTACTCAATACAACCCAGTAGCACCCAACACAACCAAAACGTACCATATACTACCTCAATGTTTTGAATACTTCAAGTATATAAAAAGATGAGTTAATTCGTGGAAATTTTGCAAAAAACGTACGGCAAATGTCTGTCATTCCAGTTATCCCTTTTGAGCACTTAATATTTAGTTTGTATTGGGTAGTATTGGGCAAATCGTCCTGCCGTTTCACAATGATCCACAGTGAAATTAACTTTGTCGCTAGAGATTGCAATACAGTCCAGAGAGGTTGGGTGACCGGAAATGCCATCTACTCAAGCGTCGTTGTCAGGGGCGGGCCTAAATATTTTGGGCCCCGAAATTGAAATGATATTCGGGGTATTATTTTCGTCGGTAGATTTGTTCCATGACAGATCATGCTAGGTTGTCACTGTCGTGCAATGCGTTACGATAGGCTTGGCCCTATTGAGTCCACAATCTGGTACGTTTAGATACGTTCGGATACGTTTCGATACGATCAACACGATTGCTACGACTGACCGCAATATATATGATAAGACCTGATAGGATCACCACTATTACCCCACGATTAAAACCACGATTTCAATAGTAGTACGAGTCGTTATAGTGGGAAACTGGCATCTCCACCAATCTGTGTTTTTTTAAATGAAATTTTAACAGATCGAAGAAAAATCCCTAAAATTATTTAAACATAGAAACACTTCACACGCCCAGTATAACAATAACAGAAAAATGAAATGAAATGAAGTTTAACGTCCTACTGTTCTGTTTCGACTGGGCTAATAAGGATGGGCATACGCCATACAATGTGCTAGGAGGGACATGTTGCCCGGGCAACGGCATTACGGCCTACTATTACACCGAATTCCAATTGCCAAGGGTTCCTTCCGTTGCACGCAAATGTTCCGAGGAAGTTTCTCGGTCAACACAGGGATAGAACACGGGACCTCTAGGTTAGAGAACCAACGTCTTACTCACTGAGCCACTGTGGCTCACAAGTTCAGTCATAACGTAGAAACACTTCACGTGTAATGAAGCGCTATATAAATCGAACAATAATAATAATAATAACGTAATTCCTAAATACTCACTCCAGGTTATCCAGTCATAGTACATATACAATAGTTGTGGACATCCACGCTCCCCCCCCCCCCCACGACCCAGTCCCACAATATTAACTAGGTCACAAACTAGGTCATTTTAGGACTAACATATGGTTCAATTTTATTTCAATCATTCGCTTGAGCATAGGGGTCTTTAGCTGTGGCAGGAAACCGGAGGACCCGGAGAAAACCCACGAGGTTGGACAGGTGACCCTAGTCCTTGTCACGTACAACCGGGGAATCCAAGCCACATCAGCTGACCCAATGACCGATCTTTAGCTGTGGCAGGAAACCGGAGGACCCGGAGAAAACCCATGAGGTTGGACAGGTGACCCTAGTCCTTGTCACGTACAACCGGGGAATCCAAGCCACACCAGTTGACCCAATGACCGACCTTATGACACAACGCGCACGCGTTAACCATTCGCCCCACCCCAAACCTATTAAGAGCTGAATACACTACATATTGTAGCCCAAAATCTGATAGGGTGACTTACTCCGAATGAATATGTCCTGGGCACTAGACTCTCTTTGCAGAGGCCACAAATACTACGCGATCTGGGCCTCTAATGATTTAAGCTGTACCAAATGGACAATAGCAGTCCGATAAATACTATGCGATCTCGGCCTCTAATGATTTAAGCGGTATCCAATGGACAATAGCAGTCCGATAAATACTATGCGATCTCGGCCTCTAATGATTTAAGCGGTATCAAATGGACAATGACAGTCCGATAAACTCCAAACAATCCGTTGTTATCTCCTAATTATGCGTGCGTGGCGTCGCTATTTGTAAATTTATCGGGCCCTAGCGCTCGATTCCATTGTGTCATCATTCTTCCACCCCAGTGTGCTCTAACCCTAACTCCCAGAAAACAGGAAGAAGCTACAGATGTTTCGAATTGCCTCGTTCACAAAAATTTGCTCCCACAGTTTTTCGGGGGAACAAACCCGGCGAACATAACTTCAGGTTGCTTGCACTTTCTGTGCTCCCAGGATCCTGGCTACAGACAGATCTCCAGATTCTGTCCCATTTCTTATTCTCTCGTTCACAAGAAGGACCTTCAATACCAGGAAATTGACTAACATTTTCACAGTTTTTCGGGGGAACAAACCCCGCGAAGATCACTTCAGGTTGCTCGCACTTTCTGTGCTCTCAGGATCTTGGCTTGGTTACTGTATGTGTACTACATTATCATCGCAACCCTTTTAAAATAGGTTTAAACAGCCTGCATATTATATTGACATCAAGCCTGATGATAACAAGTAGCTAAGTCTTTACATCACACTTACTTAATACCGTTATACCAACGCACGTTTTAGTTGATATTTCTAGGTCTTCTCTGTATATCGGTGTCATTACTGACGTTTATATATAGCCCCATATGTGAACGTGAAAAGAATGACACAGATATGTTGACGGAAATTAACGGAAATGAACGCGACTGTCTCTAGGTCTTCACTATATATCAGTGTTCAATATATATATAGGAAAAGCTGTTAACGTGATAAGAGTGACACCGATGTGGTTACGGAAATTAACGGAAAAGAACGCGGTTTTACGGAGAAGCAGTTCAAGGTCCAGTGACCAATGTAAAAGAACCCTTGACAGTTTGAAATAAAATGAATTTTTCCCGGACAGCGGCCCACTCTTATAATGGATTCCAGCTGACCACTGGCAAGGGGATTGGCTGTTGGAATTTCATATAAGAGTAGGAGGTTGTAACGCCGCCGTCCAGGAACATTTCCCTCGCAGCATACTACATGATATACAAATTTGCATATCTTATTTATAAAAGGCTATCATCACATTCTTTATAATCTAAATATGTGCTCACTTTATACAAAACTCTTATGATTCTATTTATTATGTTTGTACCCAAAAAAAGGGGTTGGGTGGCCGAATGGTTAGCGCCTGTGCGTTGTATCATAAGGTCATTGAGTCAACTGGCGCGGTTTCGATTCCCCGGTTGTACGTGACAAGGAGTAGGGTCGCCTTTCCAGCCTCGTAGGTTGTGGATGGCCGAATGGTTAGCACGCGCGGGCTGTATCGTACGGTCTGTCATTGAGTCAACTGGAAGAGTTTCGATTCCCCGGTTGTACGTGACAAGGAGTAGGGTCGCCTGTCCAACCTCGTGGGTTTTCTCCGGGTCCTCCGGTTTCCTCCCACTGCTAAAAAACCTTACGCACGCGCAAGCGAATTATATAAATAAAATCGAACCATATGTTAGTCCAGAAATGACCTAATTTGTGTCGAGTGGACTTTAAACCCCATTTGTACCCAAACAAAATGTATCTATCTACCATACTGTAATACAAATTACGTGAGAGTGACGGGCAATGACCAGCCCCCAGCCCCCCTTTCACTGTTCATACAAAACCCCAGTGACATGTTCAGCCAGTGGCGCTGTGTAATCATATTCCGTCCCTGTCTGTCGGTTAGATCTATTTGATAAGGCCAACTTCAAGTTTGGTCAAAGGTCACGAGATGTAAACAGGGCTAGTTCTAATCTCAACCCTAACCCTAACCCTGGAGACCTAGCCCTAACGCTTATCCTAACTCTAAGCTACAATCTCGCCAACAACCTTATTTACATTTCAGCGACCTTGACGAAAACTGAACTGGCCTTAACAACTAGATTTAGCCCTGCCTAACGACTGCCTTTAACATACTCGTGATATCTGGTTGTGCAAGAATGCATTATTATTATTATTACAGATAATATTAACCATTGACACACTTTTCTGGTTAACAGATTAATTTGATATACTGAGCTGAATAAATGATTGTACTGTGTCTACATCAAGCAGTCATTCCACTTTTCCTTATCTCATATTCAAAGTTAAACTTACAATGGTCAGTTGTGCCCGATTCTTCCTTTGTGAATATAATATACCACGCACAGTTTTCCAGGGTGTCCTATTTATTGTAATTAGCCCTCACTGACGATGGAGACTGTAGTTTATGCAAACTAAAATTTAAATATCAGATTACAGACACGCGAACGTAGCCAGACTGCACATGCGCAGGATGTGTAGGTGTGTGTGTGTGTGTGTGGAATAGCTTTAGTTTACGTCCGCGTCCATCCAAGTGATATCGCAGACAATTAGCCTACATATTATATATACAAATTGAATTATTTACAAGATGATTAGCGAAAAGAAATCGAATGTATTGGTGAAATATTTATATATATGTACAGAACGAATAAGACAATTGAACTAGGACATATATATATATATATACAGTTATATAACAAGTGCTATAACGTATGTGCAAATGGAGACAAGCCTAGACACACTGGACAAGACAACACGAACATTTGATAAAGCAAATGAAATGAAATGGAGTTTAACGTCCTACTGTTCTGCTCCTAACCTGGGCTAATGAAGACGGGCGTACGCCATACAGTGTGCTATGAGGGAAATTTTGCCCGGGCAGCGGCGCTACGGCCTACTCTTATATCGAATTCCAACTGCCAAGGGATCTTTTACGTGCACGCCAATGTGTACACTGGACCTCGGTTTTTCGTCCCATCCGAACGACTAGACAGCTGTCCTTCTCAGGCCATCGGTCCTGCTTGATAAAACAAACATGTATAGAGACGAACATTAGACAAAAACATTGTATTAATTTAGTATTGGGTCGTATTTAATCAGTATTGGATAGTATTTAGTTATTATTGAGTCGAATTTAGTTAGTATTGGGTCGTATTTAGGGAGTATCGGGTAGTATTCAATCAGTACTGGGTAGTATTGGATAGTTTTTGGTAAATCGTCCTGTCTTGTGATGAGTTGTCTTGTCACTGGAACCAACCATTCATAGCCGGATTCAACTGTTCATGACCGCAACTTGTTTATTGTTAGCTGTTTTATTATTCTTTAAGCGACATTCAATAATTGTAAAATACATGTAAAAAAAAATCAGACACAAGCATTACCACAAGAGAGTACCTGTCGAAACGTTGTTCTAGATGTGTACAAACCAGTGAATGTATCCAGTATAAACTGAGTTATTTGACTGCTGCGTGTATATATTATATGTCATATTATTGTCAATAGTTATTCATGCAAAGTCCTTAAACAGCTGTTATGCTCTTATCAATTCGTGCTCTTATCAGCTACAGGCCGCGGTAAAGGCTATAACGATACGTTAAGGTAAGACATTATTATATTGATGTATGAATGAATGAATGGTTTAAGGCTGTGTAAAAAGCATCCCATTATGATTATATACATATACACAGATTATGTCAAGTCGCTTAGCAATAGGCCTACAAGGTTTAATTGTCATTTTATTAATGGACGAGCACCGCTTTGACAAATTCGGGGCAGCTTTCACGGCCAAATCCTGGTTAATGAGTCAGCGCCTTAATCACTGAATACCCACTTATCTCTATCTAATTTCTATTTAGGTCAAGGTCAAATCATAGTATTAAAATATGGCGGACGCAAAATTAAGATTGAAAGAATTCCACCAGAAAATATCTGATGATTTACAGAGATCGGTTGACTTCTGGGTTAAATACTCACATGACGAAGAACACGGGTACGTAACTCTTACCAACTCCAAATTAAGCTTGCATGGGACCCCTGGCCATTGTTTGTCACACTCATAGAAATGCAATTGTATGTAACTATGGTAGATAGATAGACTTTTTTGGCATATACATATACACTATAGATGAATTTTTAAAGTGTTTATTTTAAAAATGTTTACAAATAGTTGGGGTGGGGTGGGGGCTTTAGTCACACCCAATCCTCCTTTAATTATACACCTAGAATAACAATAAATTTGTTCAAATATTCGGTTGGTGTTGATTATATCAATGAATGATATCGCCTCTTCTGACCGTACAGGCCCAACAATGATTGATATTGCCTCTCCTGACCCTACAGGCCCAACACGGCCAACAGTGATTGATATCGCCTCTGCTGACCCTACAGGCCCAACAGTGATTGATATCGCGAATTCTGACTGTACACGTCCCAGAATGATTCGTATCGTCTCTTTTGACAATACAAGCCAAACAATGATTGGCATTGCCTCTTCTGATCGTACAGGTCGAACAAATGACCAGCATCAAACGAAATAAGTTTTCTCACGTGACATATCTTATTCATCTAAACTAACCGTCTCCTGGGTTTTCTCCGGGGCCCCCGGTTTTCTCCCACTGCTAAAGAACACAACGCACAAGCGAATTATTGAAATAAAATTGAATCTCAATATGGCCTAGTTTATGTCGTGTGGACCTTAAACCCAATCTCTCTCTCTCTCTCTCTCTTGTTGACGCTGACAAATAATAGTTATGCACAGTACAATGCGAGTACAAACTTACATCGTAGATTTGAACATAACTTTTGGTTTATTTTTTTTAGAGGTTTCTTGAATTGTATTGGACCCGATGGTAAAGTTTATGACGATACGAAATATGGCTGGTTTCAAGGTCGACAGGTAATATGCATAAGCTAATAGTGTCTTATTGTTCGGACGAGACCAAACAGCGAGGCCCATGCACACGAAGGCGTGCGCATTAAAGAACGGGCGCTAAACTCAATTGTATTTCATTTCTCTATAATACAATCTACTGTGGAGAGAGAGAGAGAGAGAGAGAGAGAGAGAGAGAGAGATGGGGTTTAAGGTCCACTCGACACAAACTAGGTCATATTAAGATTCAATTTTATTTTAATAATTCGCCTGGGCGTTGTGTTCTTTAGCAGTGGGAGAAAACCGGGGGATCCGGAGAGGAGAAAACCCAGGAGGTTGGACAGACGACCCTACTCTTTGTCACGTATAAGCGAGGAATCAAACCCACGCCACTTGACTCAATGACAGATCTTCTGATCCAACGCACACGCGTTAGCCATTTGGCCTCCCAACATAGCACAATCTACCCTAGTGTTATATTATTATTGTAGCTGTATGCCTGTGCTAGTATACTGAGATCAGTCCCTGATGTTATATATATTTTAGGTGTATACGTATGCTAGTATATTGAGATCAGCCCCCGATGTTGTTAAAGATAAAGAGAAGATGTTAAACGCTGCAGAAAGTGGTGAGTAGAAGATTCTGATAAAAACTTGAATTGTTGAGTCCAACTCCCAATAACATGCTCAGATACAAGAGGCTGGTACCATGACTGTTTCTAACAGATTATATCACACAAATCTTTATACTCAGTAACAAAACCTTGGCTGTTTCTAACAGATTATACCAAACGAATCGTTATACTAAGTAACAAAACCTTGGCTGGTTCTAACAGATTATATCACACATATCTTATACTAAGTAACAAACCCTCAGTAGTTGGGATTTCCGTCTTCTGTACAATTATTCAACTAAAATCAGGACGAGATGATATATTTAAAGATATTCAGTCACATAAGAAAACCATGCTTGGAGACAAACATATCCAGAAATGTATATTTGTTTGTAATTCATTCTCTATTAAACATAATATTTTATGTTTTGGGAGAATACTTTTATAGGCTTTTGTCTGTTATTCAACCAGATTCAGTATATTGAACAGGATATTTTTAAACTAAAACTATCCAACGTTCGGTTTATGACCATGTTTGTTTTGAAATGAGAAATGTGCTCGAATCTGTCCATTTTTTGAACAATCAAAAACAGTAATTAAGTATTTTCTCCCTATAGTCCAGACAAGAAGCTGAAGTCTAGGGGCCCACCAAGAGGGACATTTATTACATTGAGAATGCTGGATGAATATTCTATGTTTCTACCAATTATTTTTACAGGGGCCGAATTTCTGATGAACAAAGTTAAGAATAGCGACACATCACGATGTTATTTTATGACTACACGAGATGGACGACCTATTAAATATCAGAAAACCATATTCACAGAGACATTTTATACAATGGCCATGTTAGAATTACATGAATTAACTAAAAAGGATATTTATCAGGTACCCAATACAATGCTTGTAGTCTTATGGATGGTGCTTTAGGTAACTTGCAGAAATCCCCCAATTGAATCCTGATCCAACTCCCTGTCCAGTGTCCAACCAGTTAAACTCCTAAACTTAAAATTATATGAAATCAGTAAAAAAAATAATTTTTTATCAGGTACCCGATACAATACATGTTAGTTAAGATAATTGGTTGGGCACAAGTTGATGACACTGAGTTAGGAAATACTCCACTAACTGGTCAGACACCTTCAGCATCTCTAGCTGCACATATGACGGTCTTAATCTTGAAGTGATTGTTATTTGTTCTATGGAAGCTGGTTGGGTTATTCTGGATAAATCGCTTTGTATTATGACTAATTTCAATGTGATATATTTCAGAAAGAAGGTATATCCATGTTAGATAAGATAATTTATTGGGCACAGGTTGATGACACTGAGTTAGGAAATACTCCACTAGCTGGTCATACACCTTCATCATCTCTAGCTGTACCTATGATGGTTCTTAACCTCTGTCAGTTACCTCTGCCAGGTACGTCAATGCGTTTATAAATAGGTTGTCTATAAGTGTGTAAAGTCGGTTCAATTTGTGTATATCATATGGCGGCATGTTGGATTCAAAGGTTTCGATTCCCAGCTTCTGCGTGACAAGGAGTAGAGTCTCCTATCCAACCTCGTACGTTTTCTTAGCCCCCCCCCCCCTTTTCCTTCCACATTTAATTATTGAAATAAAATTGAACCATATGTTAGTCCCGAAATTACCTGATTTTTGTCGAGGGAACGTCAAACCTCATTTTCCTAATTAAATGAAACATGAAATACTTTAACCACACTAGTTTCCCTTTCTTGCTCTAGTTACAGTTTGAACCTTGCGTTAGTCCCTAAATGACCTAGGTTGTGTCGGATGGGCTTAACCCCCCCCCCTCTCTCTCTCTCTTTCTGTAGCTCTAATTACAGTCTATATTTTATATACTTCTAGCTGAAAAGAAGAAGGAACTGAAAAGTGTTGAAGAGAAATGTGTGAAAGAAATACTGTCCCATATTCAGGTAGATCACCATCATTTTTTATAACCCGGTTGGAGCATAAAAGTAGTACGTTAAGCCCCATTTCACTCATATAGATCACCGGTAATAGCTGGATTGCCTTCCAGCTTGGTTCCATGGCTATTCTTTGACTAGTTTTATCTTTTCTTTTTTGAGTGTTTTGACGCATTTTGTGAATAATCAGACGAAATGAAATGGGGTTTAACGTCCTACTGTTCTGCTCCTACTGGGCTAATGAAGACGGGCATACGCCATACAGTGTGCTATGAGGGAAATGTTGCCCCGACAGCGGCACTATCGCCTACTCTTATATCGAATTCCAACTGCCAGGGGATCTGGACAGCTGTCCTTGTCAGGCCCTCCGTTCTGCGCCACTGACAAGGGGAAACCACGTCGGAGAAATTGGATGCACTTTCTCGCCCAATGCAGGGATCCAACACCCGACCTCCAGGCTAGCGAGCCAGCGTCTTAATTACCTAGCCACCGTGAATAATCAGATGGTTTAATTGTAATTCAGTGAACTTAATTGCACCCACAATATCATTTGGTCTCGTTGATTCGTGGCTCCAGTTGACTTCTGCATTCGATTTAACTCATCTTAGATTTAACTCATGCTAAAATTGTTATCACCGTAAACAGTGGCCTGTCGAAGGCTCCCAATCTTATTGGCCATTCTATCTCCATAACTCATGAGTGCTAGCCAGCTTTGTACCCTCCTAAGCTCCTATCAACCTGCCACCGCCCCTACCGCAGTCACCTGTCCTTACAGAGTGGGTAAGCCCGCTAACCCGGAGGCTCCGTGTACGATCCCTGTGTTCATCGGGATTTTCAGGCGTGGTTCCCTATTATCAGTGGTGCCTTGCAAGGGCCTTGCAAGGGGTAACGTACCGTCGTTCGGATGGAACGAAAAACCGATGTCTCGTGTATACATAGACGTGCACATAAAGAAACCCTTAGCAGTTGCAATTCGATATAAGAGTAGGCCGTAAATCCGACGTCCAGGCACAATTTCCCGTAAAGCACACTACATAGCGTATGCCCGTCGGAACAGAACAGTAAGACGCTAAACTCCATTTCATTTTGATTTCATTAAGAGTGTACCACATGGGGATGTCTCTATCTAAAACTATATCTATGTATTATATACTATTCAAAAAAAGTAGGGGATATTTGATTTTTAAGTGTTATTAAAGTCACCTAATGAAACTGACGAAGAAACAAATGACAAAATGAAATGAAGTTCACATTCATCGATTTATTCCAAATGATCGTTAGACTAAGTAAGGCACAGACTGACCATTATAAGGGTAAAATGATACCCGGGGTCAAACAGCAAAGTTACCACAGCATCACAACCAAGTCAGTAACGGGTAAATCCTCCTCTGTTTGCCAAACAAGCATTGATCCGACGTGGCATACTCCTAATGAGACGTCTAAGGTCATTTTGGTCCAGATTGTCCCATTCCTGTTGCAACGCAGCAGCAAGTTCTTGGACATTGGCAGGACGTTGTTGACGTTGACGTAACCTCTGTCCAAGCATGTTCCAGACATGCTCGATGGGGGAGAGGTCGGGACTCAGTGCTGGCCAAGGTAATGTGGTGATGTTCTGTTGTTGGAGGTAACCTGTAACGATCCTGGCCCTGTGACATCTTGCGTTGTCATCCTGGAAGATGAAACGGCGGCCATGACGTCGTGCGAACGGCACAACAGGGACTGCCAAGATGTTGTCCCGGTAGTACTGGCCTGTAACACGCCCTGCAACAACATGTAAAGCCGTTCTTCCAGCAACAGTGATGCCTCCCCACACCATAACAGAGCCACCCCCAAATCGATCATGTCTGATGACGTTAACGTCTTGGAAGCGCTCGTTTCGACGACGCCACACCCTCCTACGTCTGTCCAACAAATCAACAGTGAACCTTGACTCATCTGAAAACATCACATTGCTCCAGCGTCGATTATCCCAGTGTTGACGATCCCTACACCAACGACGTCTTGCCTGAATGTGATGATCTCTCAAACAAGGGATCACGCGAGGACGTCGGGCGCGAAGGTGACCCATATGCAGTCGATTCCGAATCGTCTGGCCACTCACTCTCACACCAGTGTCTGTTTGAAGACGAGCGCTGATTTGATTTGCTGTGATGACACGATTTCTCAAGGCCAAGGTACGGATAAATCGATCCTGGGCTTGAGTTGTTGCCCTTGGTCGACCTGAGCGTGGTCTGTCCTGTACAGATTGTGTATCACGGTATCTGGACCATAGCCTGCTTATGACAGACTGAGAAACATTCATCGTCCGCGCCACAACCGCCTGTGTTGTGCCGATCTGTAGCATGCCAAGGGCACATAACCTTTCATTTTGGGTAAGCCGACGCATATCAAAATTTGTTTTCTGGTCACTAAAACAATTAAACTGATGTTTCCACCCTGGAATTCAATGCCACAATGACTGTAACATTCAAAGTCAGAGTCGTGCAAATCTTGGGTTGGACTCCCATGATGATCCCAAGCATCACCTGCATTCCATGCGGTAGCTATTGGTGCGTTTGGGCGTGACATGTAACTGGAAATGTTTCTTCTGCTAGGTTCTATACTGACTTTTTTCGTAGTCATTTGCATATTTTAGTATTATGCCCCCAAAATCAAATATCCCCTACTTTTTTTGAATAGTATATAACAGAGAGATGGAAATGTTATAGTAGACAATGTATCTATAACTATATCTGTGTTTATATTAACAGAGAGACGGGAGTGTTATAGTAGACAATGTATCTAAAACTATATCTATGTATTATATAACAGAGAGATGGAAGTGTTATAGTAGACAATGCATATTGACTATATCTGTGTTTATCATAACAGAGAGACGGGAGTGTTATACTAGAAAATGTATCTCCAGACGGCAAAGAATTACCAAACAGTTGGGGCAGATTACAAAATCCAGGTAGTTTAAGAATATTTATATCACTGCGATACCATATCGACAGTTCAATCATTATCATTATACATACAGTAATATCTAACTGTCATGCCCTGTGTAAACTAAGTGTCTTTTTCCATCGCATATAACGAGATGCTTGCGGTAATATGTTAACTTAGGTTAAAGTAGGTTCTCTAATCACCTTCTGTAATAAAAAAACATATTCACCAAATAACCATTTCTATGGCCAGTTATATAGATTGATCACATCCTTAAATCGAAAGATTGACACTTAATTGCGGCGGTGGGTGACTAGATGTTAAATCATGACGTCAGCTGCAGGGCCCAGCAACTAAATACTTTAATTAGTATGATAGCAGTTTATAGTCACCGATCAGCTAGTTAATATTCACCAGTCAGCTAGTTAATATTCACCAGTCAGCCTGTGATAACAGTTGATATTCACCAGTCAGGTAGTTAATATTCACCAATCAGCTAGTTAATATTCACCAATCTGCCTTTGATAGCAGTTGATATTCACCAATCAGTCTGTGATAGCTGTTAATATTCACCAGTCAGGTAGTTAATATTCACAAATCATCCTATGATAGCGGTTGATCAGCCATGAATATATTTATGTTTATTAGTTTATGTTGAATCACCCCTACAGGTCATGCTATAGAGTGTGGATGGTTTTTACTTGAATACGCCATAAAAACAGGCGATAAAGAATTACAGAAAACAGCCATTGATAAATTTATTGTCAACCCTTTCAAAGGTATGTAAATTATATTACAATAAATTAACCGCCGTGCCGTCCGACAAACTGAACACAAACCAGACTGGTGAGAAGGTTAATTATATATGATTTAAACTCTCAAAATATGAAATGAAATGGGGTTTAACGTCCTACTGTTCTGCTCCTATGCTGGGCTAATGAAGACGGGCATACGCCATACAGTGTGCTATGAGGGAAATTTTGCCCGGGCAGCGGCACTATCGCCTACTCTTATATCGAATTCCAACTGCCAAGGGATCTTTTACGTGTATTCCAATGTATACACGGGGCCGCGGTTTTTCGTCTCATCCGAAGGACTAGACAGCTGTCCTTGTCAAACCCTCCGTCCTGCATCACTGACAAGGGGGAACCACGCCGGAAAATCTGGATGAACTTTCTCGGCCAATGCAGGGATCGAACTAAAAAATATGAAACATTTCAATTTACACAAGTGGGGTGGTCATAACAATTGCACCTAAAACTGTTAGAGTTATGGACGATTATTTCGGTAAACAGACGGCACCAAGAAACGCCTTTCGTTTTATGGCATGTGTATTGTTTTCCCAAACTAGATTTGTCCGTCCAGGCGTTTTATTTATTTATTTATTTTGGATAATTTTGCACTTGTAGTTCTCTTTGTATTTATTTGTTTGCTTCTAACTGACAAATTGAATCCGATATCATTGCATTATTATAATCAACGAATAGCCTATTCATACTATTATATTTTCATTTAAGGGGGCTGGGATGAGAATTATGGCGGAATATTCTATTTTTTGGATGTGGATGGATATTGTCCGACACCACTTGAATGGGATATGAAGTTATGGTGGCCACACAACGAAGCATTAATCAGCTTCTTGTTGGCCTGGAAGACCACCAAAGATTCACAATTCTTAGAAACATTTCAGCAAGTTTTTGACTACTGCTATGAACATGTAAGCATACCTAATTTATTGTATTTATTTTTTTAGTTTATTTTCAAAAGGATTAGCGCCTTGTAGATGATAATTCTCGAGATCTAATTCTTGAGATTTAATTACCAAATCTGACAATGTGATTAAAATACAGATCTACATTTCGTTTCGTTTTTTTTTATACTTTCGATGGCGTACACTCTTGAAGATCTGACCGGTCGCGTCAGAGGTTATATGAGCGACTTTTGACCCTATGACGTCAGACATTTCATTAACCAATCAGCAGTGATGTTTCTAGCGGATTACCCACAGTTCCGTGCACCACACACCAAAAGCTCGCTGTAACAGACCGTTTCAATGCCTAAACCCTCACAACATCCAGAACACGTCCATGATAACAACTCTTCCGGATCCTAATGTAATGATGACAAGTAAAACGAAATTTTGAACTAAAAAATGAAACGAAATAGGATCTATATTTTAATCAGATTGCAAATCTGAAAGATATATTGCATTAAATATCCATCATTTGAATAGAAAAGCAGAAAATAACCGTTTTAATTTGTGACAATTATTCTGAAATAAATTTCAGATTGTTTCATATCCTTATGAATAGCACGCAAATATATTTGATCAACATCAAATATATTTACAAGAACAACACGCGGAGTAAGGTTATCGTGTTGTATAAACATTTCAGTTTGTTGATGAAGAACATGGCGAATGGTTTGGTTATTTAAATAGAAGAGGGGAAGTAACTCATAACTTTAAAGGCAGTCCATGGAAAGGATGTTTTCACGTGATACGATACCAGATCATGTGTCGACAGTTATTAGAAGAAGCCATTTCTAATCAGTAATTTATTAGACTACCATTGCGCAAGAATTTACACATATATGAAATTGAACATATTTGCAAGTTTTCATGTGTGATATCACAAATAATGCTTTGCATCAATGATACTCTTCACATGAACGAATTATTTTTGTACGAAACAACAGCCCGCCCATGTTTCAAGAAAATAAAGAATGCCATCGAACATTCGATTACTATTGATGATTTGTATGACCTTAATGGTCGGGGGGTCGCGTTGGCTTAGTGGGTAAGACGCTGGCTCGCTAGCCTGGAGGTCGGGTGTAATCGATCCCTGCATTGGCCGAGAAAGTTCAACTTGATTTTCCGGCTTGGTTCTCCCTTGTCAGTGATGCAGGACCTGACAAGGACAGCTGTCTAGTCGTTCGGATGGGACGAAAAACCGAGGTCCCGTGTACACATTGGCGTGCACGTAAAAGATCCTTTGACAGTTGGAATTCGATATAAGAGTAGGCCAGAGTGCCGCTGTCCGGGCAAAATTTCTTTCATAGTACACTGTCTGGCGTATGCCCGTCTTCGTTAGTCCAGTTCGGAGCATAACAGTAGGACGTTAAATCTCATTTCATTTCATTTCACCTTAATGGTTCTATTGCTTATCACGAATTTTATCCAGCGGCTGCCAGGCAGGATACGCCCACATTTTCGAGGGATGGATAGAGAACAAGCTAAGAAGAAAGTGATTTTTCCTACAATCGAGGGCCATAATTCAGGAAATTACCATTCGATATACGCGAATATCGAAAAGAACCAAGATCTTTGGGTTATAAACTTACATTTCAAGTTTCAACAAAATCGGATAAAAATTGTGACCTCTACAGGGTCCACAACCATAGTTTTTCGCTATTTGAGAAAGAACGGCGGCCATTTTGTCTGTCAATTTTGGGACGATTTTCACGAAATTTGAACTGAGCGGCCCTTAGGGTGTAACGGTGATATAATAATACGGTTTTTTAAATCGGATAAAAATTATGACCTCTATAGGGTCCACAAGTTAAAAACGCGATTTTTCGTACAATCAGGGGCCATAATTCTGGAAGTTACGGTCCGATATGCGTGAACATCGAAAGGAACTGCGATCGTTGGGTTATAAACCTACATTTCAAGTTTCAACAAAATCAGATAAAAATTGTGACCTCTGTAGGGTCCACAAGCTAAAAACGTGATTTTTCGTACAAACAGGGGCCATAATCCATGAAGTTTCGATCCGATACATGCCAATATATAGGAGATAAACCTATATTTCAAGTTTCGTCAAAATCGGATAAGAATTGACCTGTAGAGTGTCCACAAACAAATTGTGGACGGACAGGGGCGACGGCATAATACGTCCACATGAAAATGTGGGCGTATAAAAAGTACAAATCATGTGGAATCGATGGCATTTGTCCACAGCAGCTTTTAGCTGGTTTAAACGTTGTTTTATAATAAAAAATTTTTTTATATATTTAATACTTTGTTTGATCAACAAGTTTTTTAAAAACACATCTTCAGAATATTATATCAAATACTATTTCTTCGTTTGATTTTAAAACAGGTTTATCAACTATAGCATAATACCTGAAGCAATGGCCCGAGAGGGATTTCTCGGGCCATTGCTTCAGGTATCTGCTGTAGTTGATAAACCTGTATACTTAAATCAAACGAAGAAATAGTATTTGATATAATATGCTGGATTGTCTTCTGATACTTGAGCTTTTGAGGGAGTATGTCTATTCTTCCCGTTCAATCAAATCTATCCGAAGTACAGCAACATGACAACCCTTCATTTAATCTGGGGTTAGCTATTGGTTGTTAATCGGACTATTGACCAGTCATAAGTTTGAACAGAAAATTGCTTTTTACAGCAGTGTTGAGAGGAATTAGCGAGGAGTACGTGTTTATTTGACTATAGAGTACACACCAGGCGGTAGTATGAAATTAGTCCTTGGTCGGTGTTTTTTCCGCTCAAGAATCGCGGTGTTTTCTCATAAAGGCATTCTGGGCGGCAAAAACGCGGCGGAAATATAAAAAAGTCGGCGGATTATAGTTCGCGAAAATATAAAAAAGTCGGCGGATTATAGTCCGCGAAAATATAAAATAGTCGGCGGATTATAGTTCGCGAAAATTAAATATAGTCGGCCGAGAATGGTCCGCAATGTTTAGATGAATGTCGTCCATATTGTTACAGTGGTATTGGAACAATAACGCAGGTTAACTGTTCGCCTGTTGTTCCCCATGGCTTTCTGTATACATCCTTCGCAAATTGATTATGAAAAGTAACTAAAACCTACCGATACATGTATATCCTAAATCTATCCTTTATTCCTGATTTTCATCGGTATTAGCTACTGTATGTAGCTATTTTGGGTGTCAACGGTTAATTTGACACGCAGACAATGAAACCATGTTTCGTGAATTCTGATAGCACTCTCGGAAAATGGGCGACAACTTGTTTATAAATATATTTAGAAAATACCATCCTTTATTCCTAGTGTACATGTACATCGGTATTACAATCGTGAATCATATCACAAAGCACATACACGTAGCTATTGTGGATGTAAACGCTTATCCGACAAGCAGACAATGAAACCATGTTTGTGAAATCTGATAGTCGTGTCTGAAAATATATTCCGGAGGTAGCAATTCGCACCTTCAGGTTTAATTATGAACAATAATTTAAGGATTTTTGTAGAAGTACATGCAGCATAAAAGGCTGGGAATATATATTCTCTTTTCGACTTTTTTTCATGTATGTCAGTTGAAAAGATAATTCGGAAACCCGTATTTAACAGAATTCAATGCATACATTTATGGGTGGACCCAGTCCGGTCTATAAAAGTGAAAAACTGTTTACTAATTTTAGTTTTATTTCGTTTTCGGCTTTAAAACTGACTTCTGTATCATAACACAAGCCCAATCTGATGACAGATCCCCACTTTGCAAAACAGATGAAATCATTTCAGTTATTGAACAGATAAGAATAACAATCAATCCGTCAGATATTTATTTATTCATAATGCGTTTAAAGTATCAAATTTAATTACAATATTGCATATACACTGACAATATATTATCAATAACATTTCTGGTAATTACATATTCAGGTAGTTATATAATTGCCTTCTCAATGCTTTATTTACCCCTGGGGCAGTTTACATATTATCAACAGCAGTTCTGGTAATTACATATTAAAAGATAAATACATCAACATAAAAAAAGGTTCGTCCATTTTTTTAAAGAATAGATGATATGTTTTTCGTTTTTTTTATATATATTTTTATGGTGTATTTGTGTATTAAAAATATATACATATATTTACAGTGCTAGCTATCGATTCGTCGATATTATGAACAGCAGTTCTGTAATTACATATTATAACATATAAATACATCAACATAAAAAAGTTCGTCCATTTTTTTAAAGAATAGATATGTTTTTCGTTGGTTTATATATTCTAAATTCATCTCGGATATCGTCAAAAACTGAGACGTCTGTACACGCAGATGATGATGGCTGGTGAATTTCTAGTAGCTCATGCCTGATTTGTGTTGATCTGTTTTCAAACTTTTTCATAAGTTTATCTTGGTTTTTCTTCAATTTTTGTTAATCTTAGCATTAATATTTCCAGAGATTGCTGTATGGCAGAGCTACATGCACTGTAAGTAGCGAAAAGTCGAACTCTGGTTCAAGAGATGCCGGTACCATGGGTTGGTGTGCTGGTATGGCTACTGGTGCAATAAGTGCTGCAAATTTCGTGGGTGCTGATGCTGGTGCTGGGTTCGGCAACGCTAATGGTGTTGGTATTAGCATAGATGGGATTGGCGTGGGTGCTGCCGGTGCTGTTGTGGGTGTTGGTACTGGTGCTTGGATTGGCACTACTACTGGTGCTGGGATTGGCGTGGGTGCTGTTGTGGCTGCTGGTGCGTGTATTGGCATTGGTGCTGTTGGTGCCACGGCATTTAGCGCTGGTGTAAAACTAGGTGCCAAGGCTAGTGCTGTCTGGATAGATGTTGGCATTGGCATCACTGGTGCTGTTGTGGCTGCTGGTGCTTGCATTGGTGCTGGTGTAAAAGTAGGTGCCAAGGCTAGTGCTGTCTGTGTCTGGATAGGTGTCGATGTGGCAATTGGTTCAGGTGTTGGAATTGGCTCGTGTTTTCCTTTGGCGTTCGTCACTTCCGATTCAGGAAACCTGTATTACTCAGCTATCGTAGCAATGATCTCTGTGATAAAATTATATTTTGAACGTGTTTAATTAGTTCTATCACATATGTGATGATGACTGGCACCAATAATGTCCTTTAACATATACGTACAGGCTATTTACAATTATGGGGATGATAATGTGATAAGCATTTAAATCAATTAAAAAGATAGTTAATGATAGAGGATATATTTACAGTATGGACAATGAAATATTGCACCTTTCTCCACTCTCTCACCAATACACATCCGTAAGTGTATTTGAATAATGTATCTGGAATCTAGGACATAATTGTACTTTCATATTGACCCTTTCTATACAGACTGTGGATAGTTTCCCTTATCACACTGCGATCAAAACTGTCGAATCGGGAATTAATGTCACGCTTCTTACTATGGAAGGGTATCGCTGCCAATATTAAATGCTCTGCGACAATGTCGTTTCCATTGATGATATGTAAAAAGTACAATGTACAAAGTCCTAATACCGATAATGATAAAGTCAAAATACCCCTAAGGCAGGAGTTAAATGTAAAACGACAAATGTTAAGTGTTAAATAACAAATGTTTTGTGGGAAAATGCTTTTTTTGACATATCTACATTTTACATTTCTCTCATTACATTTTATATTTGCGCCCTGCCACACCCATTTATCCTTCACGCTTTCTACATAGCAGCTTTCGCACAGCATCAACTTCATATGCAAATGTAGGATATCACGTGATTTATTAACATACACGGAAACCCGGCTACTACATCATGGCAGCACCTATTTACTAGGCAATGTCTAATTATTTTTGGGCCCATTCATATTTTATTTCCATTGACAACTAATTGGATATTACCTTTTAAAATCTTTTGAAATCTATTTGAAATGAAATGAAATGTTGTTTAATGGCACGTCAGCTCCAACCGGGCTATATTGCGCCAAACA